ATGCACAATTTGTTTTTATATCCCGAATGAAGATGATACAGATTTTATTTTTCCAATAGCACTCATTGACCGATTTGTTCCAGAATGGAAGAGTTTCTTAATGTGGTGCTACAGGTTTAGCATTTTGTCTTTATCTGTAATAATGACAACTCCGTTTTATAATATTATTTATCTACTTCATCATATACGATTCCAACTACTGATATTATTATACCATTTGAAAAATTTAAACTCTGGTTACACGAACAAAACCATCTGCGACGCAAAGTATCAGCAAGAAATCAAGAAAAGACTAAAGTTTTGTATCGAACGTCATATTCATATAATTACGTATGTCTTAATCAATATATTTATTATTAAAAACGTTATTTTTGAAAAGGATTCTCAAACAATGCCGCAGAGAATTATATAATTTAATCATTGTTTTTGCCGTAACTGGAATGGTAATTCTATTAAGCATTTTAATCTTTGTTTTCTCTGTAAGCAATTAGGGTATTTTAGAAATTTAGAAACAATTATTGTTTTGTAGTTTCGAGGGTCGTTTGAAAGTCAGTATTTACGAGTCGCAGTTTTCACCATTGGATGCTTCCTCACATCTTTTCACATTATTGTGATAGGGCAGTTGACTGAAAATGTTGTAAGTAACAAAACCTGAAAAATATTTTTTCTTTAATTCAAATTTAAGACGTTTGAGGTTTTTGAAGTATTAACAACTGTTGATTGGTATCATTGGAACATTTCAAATCAAAAAACATATCTTGTGGTGTTACAAAATACACAAAATCCATGCAAAATACAGTTTTCAGAAAACATTGCCCTAAATTATCAGTTAGGAATCTCTGTAAGTAAATTGGGGTTTTATATCTAAATAAATCCAATGTTTATAGATCATTAAAAATATTGCTTCGATGGTCTCGGTTTTAATTCAATTAAAAAATATTGATTACTCAAAGGAAAATCTGTAAAAAATTCATCACTTATATAAGTGTAGGCTAATCTCTTTTCTATGTGTCAGAAATTGTGTTGTGCGTTAATCAAACTTGTTAAATAAATTTACAAAATAAGTTTCCCCAATTTGTTTTTTTTTTCTTAAAAATTAAAATTTTATAAAAAATAGGCTTTTAAATGTACTTTCAGAGACGAACATTTTTGCGTTCTGCTTAAGTGTTTAAAATTTATAAAAGACGATCGATATCTTATGGGCGCCGACTACATGGGTGCATCGGGGCGGATGCACCCATTGAAATTTTTTAATGGGTGTGGGACACCCACTGATAAATGAAATTAATGTAGGTACTCTCGTAAAAAAATAGTGGTAATAACTCTTAATAATATTTAGAACTTCTTATTTGTCCTAATCTTTTTTTAGTAACGTTGCATTCTTTAAAATGTCTCAAATTTTCTATTTTTCTATTTCCCCCTTCGAGAAAATGGATCAAATTCATCGTTTATATTCTATTTTGTTTTTCCTTTTCATATTAATTCAAAATTAGGCTCTTTAGTGGAAAACTCCTTGAAAAAATATTTCTTATTATTTCAAAAACTTCAGAACGACAAAACATTTACCATAAACTTTACTATTCCAAAAAACTTAGAGAATGAAAAATATTTTTTTGTTTTGAAATATTGTACCTCAATGAAAAATGGTGGTATTTAGATTTAAAAAAATCATTTTAAACCTTCAAGTTTCTAGTTTTGAAATTTTTTGGCAAAAATTTTCTGAGCTTCGGTTGTTACGTATCCTAAAAAATAGCGCGACAAAAAAATTTTTCCTTTTTTTTAGTCTACGAAGTTTTTATTAATTAAATCAGTACATGAGCCGGATGGTTTGTTCATTCAGCTTTAATTTGCTTTCTTTATGTTCTCCTTACGTCAATTTCTCGCTGAGATATTTGACTTTTAATGAAAAGGATCTTTTTGTCTTTGATCATCGATATCTCAGAAACCAATGACCACACAGACAATGTAAGGTCAGTTTCAAAAACTGGAATAAATCTTCTGCAAGATGTTTTTACGATTTTTTGAAAAAAAAATTACTTGCAACATTGATTTAAGGAGAAAATAAAAAAGTAACTTTTTTTGTTGTAGTAAATCTACCGCGTATTCACAAATATTGATAAGAAGACTAAATAGTCATTAGGTTTTTTTTATGCCCAATAGTTCTAAACTGTTTTCTAGGACCGATTGATCAAGGTTTTACAAAAGAATTAATTTATTATTTTTTATTTATTAATTTATTGAATTAATTTATTTTTATTAAAGACATACAGGTACATGACTAGATGAGTACAAAAATACGTGTCTTGGAAAATTTTTTTAAAATATGGGTCTATAGGTACTTGCTTTCCTATATTTTTCGACTAAGGAAATCACCATCAGAAATTTCTTACTTTTTTTTCTTGGCACCCTGTATAAGTTTTAGAGAAAGTAAACTATAAATGAGCTAAAAATAATTACAGCTTGAATAATATTGTTGTTATTGGGTCTTACAGCCTATGATAAATGTTGTACTTACCTACTTTTGACAAATTCATTCAATGTGTCACGGTATCAGAAAGGGAGAAAGTGTTGTCTCTTTTCGAGTTTCGCTAGTTATTAAGCGTGATTTTTTTATATTTCAAATTTGCTTTTGAAAATGAAAGAAATTTCAAATTAACAAAATAAAACCCGATCAATTAAGTAATAGTATTAAGCAAAATCGCTTCAACATGAAAATTTTTGCACCGTAAACTTAAGTTTTCAAATTTTGGATTATGTAATAATATAACAAGAAGACATAAAAGTCTATTTAGGAATTGTGAGTTTCTGTAAGTAAATTGGGGTGGCACATTTAAATAATTTCATATTTTATAAGCCCTAAAAACTGTCAGTTTCAATGTTCTCGGTTTTAAAGCAATTCAAAAATATTAACTACTTAAAAAGAAATAAATAATAAATATAGATAAAAAATAATAAATCACTCAATAGATAAACCTAACCAATTACATTCTCATCGTTTATTTTCCCATCAAATTAATTTGAAATAATTTATATATACAGAACAACCATTTATAACCACTCTATTTTTCCTGCGATCATTATTTCCTAAATTTTTAAATATTGATATTGATTATTGATCCTAATCATAATTAAGAAATTATTTATTTTATTCACAATCACTAATGT